AGGGGGAGGGGAGCTGTTGCATTGTGGGAAATTGCAGTGAATGCCATGAGACAAAGCGTATGTGAGCTGCTATATGGAAAGTGAATTTGCTCTGTAAACTTTCACCAAATCACAATTTTAAAAAAATGATAATAATAATGAAAATAATGGCAAAAATGATCCCTCATGGTACCCTTTTACAGCCTCAGACACTTCCCTCCCTGCTCGCCTCCCTAAACTCTGGCAATGCACTATCTATCTTATCTCAAAAGTTTATATACTGTATGTGGTGAAATGAGTTCCTTTAGGTGGCCTTTTGCCTTGGTTTCCTGGGAAAAAAGCTTGAGAGATATTTTTCCCTAAGCTCTGAGAAGTTACCTTTGTCTTAGTTTTCAACTTAGAGGATTTGCTACTTTTGTCCAGGTTGACTGACATTTCCTGGGCAAGCTGTAAACCAATGACTTTTGTCTGGCCCTGAGCAGTAGCCTGCCCTGTGACTGGTATGTACCTGTACAGGGATTGGTTGATAGATAAAGTGTCTGTGGCCTACTGAGAGGAGATTGGTCAGTTCGTGGCCCTAATGAGAGGGCCATGACTTGAAACTGACAAGGAGTTCGTAGACATAAGCAGCCAACCTCACAAAGGTTTCTCAGACAGACAGAATCGGGAGGAGAAGCAGCAACAGCAGCAGAAGGAAGAAAGCAGAGAGAAGAAAGCAAAAGAGAGAAAGGAGGCAAAAGAGCTGTAAACCATATCAAAGGCGGTGACACTGAAGACAGTGAGAGGCCCAGAAAGGCCCAGATGGGTTCCACCAGCACAACCAGTGGCAACACACAGCAAGGCCAAGAGGAGCCAGTCCTGAGGGCGTGGAGAGAAGCTCGGGAGGGGGCCAAACGGCAGCCTGTCCTCACGGAGGTGACAGGAGGCTTGCACAGCCCAGAGGGGCCCAGAAGACTGTTCTGCAATGAAGAAATGAAGATGGGAGACTTTGCCTAGATCCTTCCTGACCCTGATCTCAAGCAGCTACTTCCATAATGAGCCACTGTGTGGCCACTGCAATGGATTATTGAACTCATAAAAAGTAGAGAGAGCTGTGGGAGAGACAGCTGGTGTAAAAAGGTTAGAAAACAGAACTATGTCTGACCTCCGACTCACAGGGTCAGCCTTGGACTGCCCTTGTTTCACATTATCACCTGTGAAGCTAGTATAAAAATACAGGGTAGCATCTTCCTCTGACCTCCTCCAACCTCATGAGGAAAAACTGAAACACCATCAGCAGCCCAAGGCTTATTCCTGAGGCAGACATGCCACCACCCTCCAGTCTTTTCAAACTCTAACACCAACCGTCCCCCCACGGCACTCACTACCTCTCTGCTGATTTCGGTAATTCGTTGAATGACTACACAGAACTCACAGACAACATTCACACTTAGGGTGTTTATTAAGAAAGTCACAGGTTACAATTCAGGTTCAGGAAAGCTCAGCACACAACTCTGTGATCAGCCAGCCTCCCCTCAGCCGTGTCCACAGG